CAGGGGGAGAAAACAAAACAAAAAAAAAACACTGAAGAACTGAAGACACTAAGAAAAACTGAGGTAGAATAAAAAGGTCAGTAGGAGTCTAAAATGGCACAACCAATTAAGAAAAAGGCAGTTTCTGTAAAACTAAACATACACCTACCCCATGACCATATCTATCTATCTTCTCCAGGGCGCAGTGGCTCACACGTCTAATCCCAGCACTTTGGGAGGCCGAGGTGGGTGGATCACCTGAGGTCAGGAGTTCAAGAGAAACCTGACCAACATGGCAAAACCCCGTCTCTACTAAAAATACAAAAATTAGCTGGGTGTGGTGGTGGGCACCTGTAATCCCAGCTACTTGGGAGGCTGAGGCAGGAGAATTGCTTGAACCCGGGAGGCAGAGGTTGCACTGAGCTAAGATCCTGCCACTGCACTCCACCCTGGGCAAGAAGAGAGAGACTCGATCTCAAAAAATATATATATAATAATAATTTTATATATATATATATATATATATATATATATCTTCCCAAAAGAAATGAAAACATGTATTTCCTTTTTCCTCCTTTTTCTTTTTTCTTAAATAAAGACAAGGTTTCACCACGTTGGTCAGGCTGGTCTCGAACTCCCGACCTCAGATGATCCGCCCGCCTTGGCCTCCAAAGTGCTTGGATTACAGGCGTGAGCCACCACACCCGGCTGAAAACATGTATTTCCAAAAAGACTTATCCAAGAATCTTTATGGTAGCTCTATACATAATAGCCAAAACTGGAAACAGTTCAAACATCCATCAACAGGTGAAAACAGTGTGATATACTTGTATAATGGAATACTATCCAGTGATAGAAAATAACAAATCACTGGCCAGGCGTGGTGGCTCACGCCTGTAATCCAAGCACTTTGGAGGCCAAGGCTGGCGGACCACCTGAGGTCGGGAGTTCGAGACCAGCCTGACCAACGTGGTGAAACCCCATCTTTAAAAAAAAAAAAAAAAAGAAAGAAAAAGAAAATAACAAATCACTGAATCACCCAACATTATGCTGAGCAAAAGAAGCCAGATGCAAAGTGTGTAATTGTATGATTTCATTTATATAAGATTCAAGAACAGGCAAAACACATATCCTAAGCAAACACAGGAACAGAAAACCAAATACCACATATCCTCACGTATAAGAGTCAAACACTGAAGACACATGGACACAAAGAAGCAAACAAGGACACCAGGGCCTACTGGAGGGGGCAGGGTGGGAGGAAGATGAGGATCAAAAAACTACCTATTGGGGCTGAGTGTTGTGGCTCACGCCTGTAATCCCAGCACTTTAGGAGGCTGAAGTGGGCAGATGAGGTCAGGAGTTCAAGACACGCCTGGCCAACATGGTAAAACCCCATCTCTACTGAAAAAACAAAAATTAGCCAGACATGGTGGCACATGCCTGTAATTCCAACTACCTGAGAGGCTGAGGTAGGAGAATTGCTTGCACCTTGTTGCCTGGGCAACAGAGCGAGACTGTCTCAAAAAAAGAAACAAACAAACAAAAAAAAACACTACATTTTGGGTACTACGCTTATCACCTAGGTGACGAAATAACCTGTACATCAAACTCCCATGACATGCAATTTACCTATATTATAATAAACCTGCACACATACCCCTGAACCTAAAGTTAAAAAAAAAAAAAAAAAAGAAACCACACACCAAAAAGAAACAGGCAAAACAAATCAATCAGCAATTGCCTGGAGCTGAGAAAGCCTGACCACAAAGGGCCACAAGAGGACTTCTTGGGATAATCCGGGTGGTGCTTACACTGGTATATGCATTGTCAAAAGTGATCAAACTGACTGGGTGCAGTGGCTCCATCTCAAAAAAAAAAAAAAAAAAAAAAAAAAACTGATCAAACTGTTCACCTTAAAAAGGGGCATTTGGCCAGGCACAGTGGCTCAACCCTATAATCCTAGACTTTGGGAGGCTGAGATGGGAAGACTGAGCCTAGGAGTTTGAGACCATACTAGGCAACATGGCGAGGCCCTGTCTCTACAAAATATAAAAAAATTAGCCAGGCATGGTGGTGCATGTGTGTGGTCCCAGCTACTCAGGAGGCTGAGTGGGGAGGATTGCTTGAACCCAGAAAGTTGAGGCTACAAGTGAGCCATGATAGTACAGCACTCCAGCCTGGGCAACAGGGCAAAAACCATGTCTCGGGGTGGGGGCGGGGGAAGGCATTTGATTGGATATAAATTATACTTCAATCAAGTTTATTAAAGAATAAAAAGATGGAGCTAGAAGGAAACCAAGTCAGGCTTCATGTCACAAGGTTCAATACAGTTTTTTAGAAAAAGAAAGGGAGAGTTGGTTGGGGGCAGTGGTTCACGCCTGTAATCCCAGCACTTTAGGAGGCCATGCCTGGTCAACATGGTGAAACCCCGTCTCTACTAAAAATACAAAAATTAGCCAGCGGTGGTGGCTCATGCCTGTAATCCCAGCTACTAGGAGGCTGAGGCAGGAGAACTGCTTGAACCCAGGAGGCGGAGGTTGCAGTGAGCCAAGGAGGTCTTGTCATTGCACTTTAGCCTGGGTGACAAGAGCAAAACTCCATCTCACCAGCCCCCCCAACAACAAAAAAAAAGAAGGCGGCAATTACAGACTTGGCCGAACCTCCTAGCAGTCAAATGGCAAGAAGCACAATCAACATCCACAACGCAGAACATGCCAGCTGCCGAGGAGACACAATGGGCCCTGAGGTCTGAGACACACATCCCCTTCCATCCACCAAGTCCTCAGAATTAAGTCCCCCAGAATGCTCTGAGAAGAGACAATGAGGACAATCAGAGGATCTATCCTTCTTTCACTGGCTCCTCCTCTTCATCCCCTCTGACAGGACATCAGGAAGACACTCCAGGCTCAGCGTCTCTGGCCAGCCCCCAGCTACCATCAGTCCTCTCCTCCCCATGGCACTCACCTCCTCGTGGGTCCATTTGACCTTGCACTTGCTATCCCTCTGCTCCGGCACATCTGAATCTGTGTCCTGGTAGTGCAGCTCATCCAACTCCTCGCTATGGAGAAAGCAGGCCAAAAGGTCAAGGATGGTGTGTCCATATATTTTACACAATGGAGAACATGTGGGCAGCTGCCAGCCTACCCTAGGGAAAGTCTGGGGGAGAGGCTTTTACTTTTTCTTCTTTTTAAGACATAGGCACTTCTGCCTCAACTCTTTTTATTTTCAGACAGGGTCTTACTCTGTCACTGGGCTGAAGATCAGTATGGCATGATCACAGTCTTAACTCCTGGACTCAAATAATCCTCCCACCTCAGCCTCCCAAGTAGCTAGGACTACAGGCGCATGCCACTACACCCAGCTAATGTTTGCATTTTTTTGCAGACATGGGGTCTCACCATGTTGCCCAGAGTGGTCTCGAACTCTCCCACCTTGGGAGTAACTAAAGAAAAACAAATGGGCATAGTTACCTCCCATTTGTTATTTTTCTTGAGACAGACTGGATTTGTCACCCAGGCTGGAATGCAGTGGCATAATCATAGCCCACTGCAGACTCCAACTCCTAGGCTCACACAATCCTCCCATCTTGGCCTTCCAAAGTGCTGGCATTACAAGCCTAAGCCACCATGACTGGCCAAGTTGCTTCTTGTTCTTGGATTTTTTTCTTTTTTTTGTAATGACAGAGTCTCACTATGTTGCCCAGACTGGTCTTGAACTCCTGGGCTCAAGTGATCCTCCTGCCTCAGCCTCCCAAGCAACTGGGATTACAGGTGTGCACCACCATATCCAGCTTATGTCCATTTTTGCAAATCCCTTTTCAATCCTTGCCTACACACAGGCATAATTAATGGAAAGAAAAATCAGTGTACTGTCCAGGCACAGTGGCTCACGCCTGTAATCTCAGCACTTTGGGAGGCTAAGGTGAGAGCATAAGGTCAGCAGTTCGAGACCAGCCTGGCCAACACACTGAAGCCCCATCTCTACTATACAGGCGCCTATCCTCAATAACAGGTGTCATACATGATAATAAATAAATAAATAAATAAATAAAGGCACCTATAATCCCAGAGGCTTGGGAGGCTGATGCAGGAGAATCACTTGAACCCGGGAGATGGAGGTTGCAGTGAGCTGAGATGGCACCACTGCACTCCAGCTCAGGAGACAGTGCAAGACTCTGTCTCAAAAAAAAGAAAAGAAAAGAAGGAAAGAAAGGAAGGAAAGAAAAGAAGGAAGGAAGGAAGGAAGGAAGGAAGGAAGGAAGAAAGGAAGGAAGGGAAAAGAAACAAAGAAAGAAGGATAGATCAGTGTACAGTATATTCTAACATGGTTTTGGGGAAAAAAAAAAAAAAAAAAAAACAAGTACAAGTTGCTTTGAAGCCTGGGTGTTTTTATTCTACAAGGGAATTTTCTAAGTTGCTCCAAAAAGGCCTTGTATTTACCCAGTTTAATAGTTACAAAAATGGAAATCACACGTTCCACATCCAGAGATGTCAGGTACATGAGGAAGGTTAGTAACCTTTCCCCAACTCAACAACAGAACCTGCATCAGATCATCTTGGTCTGCTAAGTTGCTAGGCCATGCATTTGTAAACTGGAAGAAGCTTACAGGTTTCCAAACAAGGCAAGTCTAGGTCTCATGACCAGATGAAAGGCGTTTACTGTGCCATCCACGTTACCTTCTCCTTGTTCTCCAGAGCTCACCATTCCTTCCTAGAGTCACTCCTACACTTCCACAGCACATGGAAAAACTTCCTGCTTCGGGTCCTTACACACTGCAACTGCCTAACTCCGCTACATCCTCTACAAAGGTCATCTCTACCTCTGTATCCCAAGGCTTATCACCAAAAGGCCTTAAGAAATGTTTGCCCAGCAACTGAATACACCACAAATGAATGAAAAAATGTGCAAAGCTGCTGCCTAGTAGTCGATAAGAAATACTAATTAATTTTTTTAGGCCAGGCATGTCCCGTTTTCAAAAGAAAAAATTTTTCAGGAATAGAAAAGGAAGGGATGGTGTCTACAGCCAGCAATACATCAGTCATAGAAGGCTCTGGAATTCATTCCTGACCCAGTTCATGGGTCCACCACCATTGCCATATAGAAGGCAAAAATCCAGAAGATACTAATAACAGAAGGAAGCTGACTTTAAAAACAACTGCCCCCAGACTGCTCGTGACAGAAACCATTTTTGCTTCTCCAGCATCCAGCACAAACAAGGCCTGGCTTCTAGCAGAAGCTCAGCAAATACTCTTTCAAAGATGAGAAGGGTGTCTGCGTGTACACTTTCTGGTGCTCCAATGCTGTTTATTTTTGAGACAGAGTCTAATTTTTGTATTTTTAGTAGAGATGGTGTTTCACTATGTTGGTCAGGCTGGTCTCAAACCCTTGGCCTCAAGTAAGCCACCATGCCCAGCCTCCCAGGCTGTTTGATACAGTCAGCATCTCAGATAGCTGGGACTTTTCTGTGAGATGATCTACTTTACCACATGTGCTGGCCACCGACTTCACCCACATTCTCATTACCCCACTTAACAGATGCAGAAATTGAGGCTCAGAGGGGTCAGGCCACCTGCCAAGTTCATTGAGCCAGGCTCTGAACCATCCTATCTCCACACATCTGCAAACCCTCATATCCTAATACTGGCTGGAAAAGCAGAGGCCAGTTAGTGGTGGCAACCACATTTTGGTCCAACATAGCCTACCTTTTTGCCCTTCAATGTGCTGGGCTCTGCTCCAGGACAGGGGTGAGTCAGAGGCTAAGCAGGAAGTGGGGCACTAGGGCAGAGAAGACTTACAGCAAGTGGCCAGGAAATGGGCTGAGGGCTATGGAGCTGCCATCCTTCACATGGGAGGGGTTCCTCCACTGAGCCCCTCAGGGGAGAAGTAGCTGAGGACCTAGGGGTGATCTAGGGGCAGTCACTCCTGGAATAACACTTCCTGAATAAAAAATCAGGATGTGGCCAGGCAAGATGGCTCACACCTATAATCCCAGCACTATGGGAGTCCAAGGGAGAAGAATCCCTGAGGCCCGCCTGGGTAACATAGTGAGACATCCCACCCGTCTCTACAAAAAATAAAACAGGCCAGGAGTGGTGACTCCTACCTGTAATCCCAGCACTTTGGGAGGACAAGGCAGGCAGATCGTGAGGTCAGGAGTTCATGAGACCAGCCTGACCAACGTGGTGAAACCCCGTCTCTACTAAAAATACAAAAATTAGCCGGGCGTGGTGACGAATGCCTGTAGTCCCAGCTACTCGGGAGGCTGAGGCAGGAGAATCACTTGAACCCCAGAAGCTGAGGTTGCAGTGAGGCAAGATAGTGCCACTGCACTCCAATCTGGGCGACAGAGCGAGACTCCATCTCAAAAAATAAATAAATAAAATACAAATAAATAAAACAAGTAGCCAGTTGTGGTGGCATTTTCCCATAATCCCAGCTACCCAGCCTATCCCAGCTGGCTGAGGTGGGAAGATCACTTGAACCCGGGAGGGTTGAGGTTGCAGTGAGCTATGATTGTACCGCTACACCCGCTACACTCTAACCTGGGCTGCAGAGCGAGACCCTGCCTCAAAAAAAAAAAAAAAAAAGAAAAGAAATCAGAGCAGGATCTGATAGGTGCCTGAACAGAAAACTCTTCCTGGACACTGGCACTGCCCTGGGAAAGTGGGGCCCGAGGAACACAGTCCCTGTGCCAGGCGCCCCAACCGCCACTCAGATCCCTATCCTCAGCCTGAAATGGCAAAAATCTAGAGAGGTGGAAGGCCTCATCTTTAGATGAAGCTATCATCTGAAGAGGGACGGAAGGTTATCTGAGCGGCAGGGACCTAGGCAGGGAAGAGGTCAGGACTCCACAGTCCTGTCTCCCAGGCAGGCTGAAAAGCCTGGAGCTCAGGCCCCAGGCACACAGGTGTAAGACAGGGATCTGGAGCCACAGACCCGGCTCCGGGATCCGGGCTCCGCTCTGCCACTTAAGTCTCTGGGGAAATAAGTAAAATGGAGACCGCAGTTCCTGCCTTTGCCCCAGGGACTCTCTCTCCCTAGCACCTTCAACCCCAGCTGCCCAAAACTCCTCATGGGAACAGGAAGAGAGGTCTCAAACTGAACCCAGCTAGGGCGCGGAACCGAGGTGGGAGAGACAAAGAGCCCCCAACTCAGCACCCCCCTCACAGTCGGGGGGAGAGGGCTTGGGGGTTCTGTGCACCCCGGAATGCTGAGGAGCAAAGCCCACCAGCCAAGCTGACCTAAAACTAGGCTGGAACGACAAGTGCCTCCCAGGCTCGGCCTGCCACTGGCTGGGCCTTGGAGACTCCCTCTCTCTCCCAGGGATCGCCTCCCTCCCAGGCGAAGGCCCTGCCAGCTGACACTGGCCGGTCCACCCCCATCCCGCAATTAGGCGGGAGACAAAATGACATCATACAGGGCTTGGCCCGGATCCCAGGAGACCCGCCCGTCCCAGCTCGGAGGCCCAGCAGGCTCGGGGAGCCGCGAGGGACCCCCAAGAACCCTCCACCTTTGCGCGCGCCCCCTGCCTCAGAGGGCCCAGGACGCAGCATTCTCGCGGAAACAACCCCCTCACTGCCAACACACACACACACGGACGCCCAGATCGAAGGGAGTCTGGGGAGGGTGGGGGAGTGGGGGAGGGTGGGGGAGTGGGGGAGGGGTGGATTAAAGAAAAGGGGAGGGGCCCTCGGCCCTCCCGGCACGTCTCACCCGCGCGTCCGCCGAGACATCCCCCCCGGCCCGGACCGCGCCGCGCTCGCCTGCCCGCTGGCTGAGCCCGGAGCGGGAGCCGGGCCGGGGTCAAGACCCAGGCTGCTCCGGCCGCTCCGGGCCCCGGGCCGCGCTCGACGTCGTCAGCGTGTCCGCAGGTCCCGCGCTCTCCGCTCGCAGGAACTGCAGCCGCCGCCGGCGCGGGCTGAAGCACTTTTCTATCTCCCGCCAAGCGCGTCGGCGCCGCCCGGGCCTGGCGCGCGAGCGGCGGGGCGGGGCCTGCGGGAGGGGCGGAGCCGGCGGGGCGGGGAGGGACGGGGCTTGCTGGGAGGCACCTGCCCAGACCCTCTAGGGCTGGCTGTGGGACAGCGGCCGCGGCCGCTACTCCGGAGTCGCAAAGCGGACACCAGAGGACTGCTCAGATGTCAGTCTGGGGTGCCCAGGAGTAGCCCACATAGCGAAGACCTTGGAAGGGGAGTGAGGCGCGAGCATGGGAAAGCCAGCCAGGGAAAGCGCCAGGGCGGAATCCCCCACGCTAGTCCTAGCCACTTCTGCGTCCCTGCAGCCCCACCCTAAAGCGGCTCATCGCCCCTACCTGGACCAGTCTGTGCCTCTCCCTGCTTCCTCTCCTGCCTCCGAGAGACCCTCCTTAATACACTTTTTCTTTTTGAGGCGGAGTCTCGCTCTGTCGGCCAGGCTGGAGTGCAATGGCACGCTCGGCTCACCGCAACCTCCGCCTCCCGGGTTCAAGCAATTCTCTTGCCTCAGCCTCCCAAGTAGATGGGATTACAGGTGTGCACCACCACGCCCGACTAATTTTGTATTTTTAAGTAGAGACAGGGTTTCACCATGTTGGTCAGGCTGATCTTGAACCCCCGATCTCCTGATCCGCCCGCCTCAGCCTCCCGAAGTGCTGGGATTACAGGCATGAGCTACGGCTTGTTGTTTATTTTTTTAGAGGCACGGTCTTGCTCTGTCGCCCGGGCTGGAGTGCAGTTTTGCGATCATAGCTCACTGCAGACTCCACTACCGAGGCTCGAGCGATCCTCCCACCTCAGCTTCCCAAGTAGCTGAGAGCAGACACTCGCCACCACGACTGGCTAATTTTTTTTTAATAGAGACGGGGGTCTTGCAATGTTGCCTAGACTGGTTTGAAAACTCCTGGGCTCAAGCAATTCTACCACTTCATCCTCCCAATATGCTGGGATTCCAGGGGCGAGCCCCGGGCAAGAATGACTCTCCCTAAATGCAAAACTGACTTTACCTTTCCAAAATTTAAAATCCGTCCTCCTCGGGCCAGGCGCGGTGGCTCAAGCCTGTAATCCCAGCACTTTGGGAGGCCGAAGCGGGTGGATCACGAGGTCAAGAGATCGAGACCATCCTGGTCAACACGGTGAAACCCCGTCTCTACTAAAACTACAAAAAAAGTTAGCTGGGCATGGTGGCACGTGCCTGTAATCCCAGCTACTCAGGAGG